GTTATAATCACAAGGATTGTGGGGACTAGGAGTCTTTTTAACATGGTTTGTAAAAACAGGGTTAATAATAGAAAAATAGTTCTACTATCCTGTCTAGAATAATCCAGCCAGATATTCATCCATTCTAATTTATTCCTACATTTTTCTAAGTATCTAAAGATGGCTTATATATATGGTATATATATGGTGAGAAATGATACCATATAACAATATTATACAGTATATTTGTTTACAGTGCTTCTTGTGAGTCTTCTATGAAAATAATATTTCGTATGTACCTGTTTTGCCTAATTTTGATAGCTGCAGTGGTTTAAATGTGTTTAAAGTCAAATTTACTGTCTGTATTTGCATTTTCTCCTTGTGCTGATTTAAACAACCTTTCTTCTTTTGGGTAGAATTCAGAATCTCAGTTGATGCCGCTTTGTTTTTCAAAATATTTTTCTCTCCTGGTTTGCCTTGACCACTAGTCTGCCATGTTATCACATAAACTAGCTTTCTGCTTTTCATAGCAGTAGAACTGAGGGGGAATATATAACATTCTCTTCTGAACCAGTGACTTGAGAATATTGATCCTGTTGTTCACATTTGTAACCTGTGCAGTTCTGCGAGATGAATCTCTCTACAGACATATAACACACAAAGTCCATTTTCTTCTAGTTCCTCAAATACATGCACAGAATCTCATGTTAAGTGCTGTTAAAGCAGCTTTTCATTTTGTCTGATTTTTATTTTGCAGCATTTTTAACCAGATGTTTTAGACATAACTCCATACAAAAATTTTCTGAGGTTTACTGGAACCATACGGAGATGGCAGCATATCCATCCATCCGTCTGATCAATTATCAAAATAATCACAGACACAGTGGTTATTTCTGTGAGAAAGAACTTAGCGAGTCTGCAAATAATTTGAAAGAGTATTTCAGGAGTCAGATATTACTATATTTAAATCCAGTTTCCTCTCCCTCCCCCCTGTAGAGCTTAACATGTGTATCAAAGAATGAATATTGTCTGGAATTGAAAAAGCAGAGTGTGTATCCTTCTTCTTCAGTGGCAGCTGCTCCATTAGGGCAAAGTTTGTTGCCTCACCTCAGAATAGCTTTCAGATCCTTAAAAGAAAAAGGGGATATATGTATAATAGACAGCAAATTAATACAAAATAGATAGATAAAACTTTTATTGGCATACGTAAAAATGAACATAGTCATAGTGGTTTGTTAGGTAACTACATATATAGGCATCAAGAGGGCAGAAAAGTGTTAGACCTAACAATAGTATCAAGGAAGTCTGTGACTCTTTCTACAATGTCAGTCATCTCGGACGTCAGCATATAGAGCGAACTTTATCCAGATCTGACCTCCCTTCCAGCTTTAATAAAATTGGGGCTATTAACCTTGATCTGCCAATCCAGTGAAGCGGGTAGTGCAAAAACATATGAACAAGTATCCCCTGTTCACATGGGCAGTGCCTTTCAGAATAGGGAACTGCATTAAATCTGCCATATAAGATTGATTGATTGATTGATTGATTGATTGATTGATTGATTGATTGATTGATTGATTGATTGATTTGATTTGATTTGATTTGATTTGATTTGATTTATACCCTGCCCATCTGGCCCATAAGGCCACTCTAGGCAGCTGTAGGCAGTACAGTAGGCATATAGCAGTAGGCATGACATTGCATCTGGTCAAAGAGAAGACCCTACATTTTTGAGGGCATTTGAGCAAGGAAAGGTAGGCAGCAAGTTTGCCCATTTTAGAAGGAATATGGAAAAACAATGGTGATCAGAATTTATTGGCAGCACTACAAGGGTCCTGTAATTCAATATCCAAAATTCTTCTTTTAATAATTTGGAAAGCTAGCTCTTGGCTTAGAGCTCCAAGGTAGTTGCTATCTATACCAATTGGTTTCAATTTTTTCAAGAGGACCATTGACCCAAAAGGCAGGACAGAGTCCTGCAGAAGTTGGTATAATAAACTGTCCATGTTTGAATTGTAATAGATACTTAACCAAAATTTGAATGATCTCAACCAAGCTACAGTCCGTATTAAAGATACTCCGGACTCCAGACAAAGCACCGAATAGGGCACGCATCTAGGTAGTCCTAACGCTTTGTATAAGAAGAAGGATTGTAGCTGTTCAATGGATCAATCAATCCAAAGCACTTGCCCAAATTGGGAAACCACAGAGGGGGTGTGGAATAATTTTGGACTTGAAAACTTGTTATGCTGCTGGGACAAATCGAGTTCCTGAATTATAGTAAAAACACAGAATAGATTGAGTAGTGATCCTAGCTGTGTTTATAGCCATTTTTAAATGGGAGCCCCAAGAGTGTTTATAATGAAAAAGAACACCTAAGTATTTATACTGTTTAACCTATTCTATGTGATTTCCATTTAGGTTCCATTGAAATTGTGTCCATGTTTTAGCAAAAACCAGTATTTTTACCTATTATAATTTAATTGCATTTTATTTTTGCTCAGATACTCTGTACATCCATTAATCAGGTATCTTAGACCTGGATGAGTGCGGGAAATGATGACTGCATCATCCACATATAGTAGTATTGGGATGGGATGAGTTCCCAATTTGGGAGGGTGGCCGTCGAAGTTTGTCATAAAGGGAGTGAGATCGTTCATAAAAAGGTTAAACAATAAGGGAGCCCTTGTTAGTTTAGACCTGGGTGGTTAGTTCCTCTCTTCGAGAAAGTCAAATTTGGCATGTTGTAGCAGAGTATAAACCTTTTATGAGGCGGAGTAGACTTTTATCAATGTCCAAATTTTGTAATTTGTCCCATAATAGTTGTCTATCTATTGAAGCAAAAGCTCCCTTTAAATCAAGGAAGGCCACATACAGTTCAGCATTAGCATATTTTAATATTTTGTTAATCAGGTGTGAGAGTATCAAGCAATTATCGATTGTGGAGTTGCCTTTCCTAAAAGCAACTTGCTTGGGGCCACGGATAGATTGTCAGTCCAAGAGGTTAGTTTGTTTAATAGGTATTTTGCATATAATTTTCCAATCAGTGATAGTAAGCTAATTGGCCTATACTTTTCTGGGAGGCAGGGATCCCTTTTTGATAAATTGGGGCCACAATGGCATTGGTCCAGGCTTTAGGAATTGATCCAGTGTTGTCTAAGGCAGTAAAGAGAGGGGCAAGTATTGAAGCCCACCAATTCAGATCACATTTCACTAAGTCTAGTGGAATAGCATCAGGGCCAGCCCCTTTTCCTGCTTTGGGTTATTAGATCTTTAACCTCATCAATAGATGCCAAAGGCAAGGGTGTGAGCTTGATTGTGGAAAAGGTGCTATATCTTTGTTAAAGAGGAGCTTGGAAAAATATTGGATCCATCTTTTGGATGGTATTTCAGCAGCGTCATGTCTGTCCTAGAGGAACCAGCCACAATGGCCCAGAAAAGCTTATTATTTTTCAGGGTCACTGCCTGTAGTAGCATGTTTCATTGCTCTAAAATAAAGCTTTGCCTTTTTTTTCTTTTATACAGTCATTTAAATGTTTTTTTAGGGACAGATATTTAAATAGTGCTTGATGGGTGCCCAATTGTCTATATGTTCTATAGGAGTTACTGATACATTCTTTCAGGATCCTACAATCCGAATCAAACTAGGATCTTTTATGTGTAGGATTGCTACACCTTAAGGAGGTTGGGGTAAACCCTAACTCAGAGCATAGGAGCTGAATAAAATCACTGAAAGCTTGGATTTTTTCAAGAGGTTCTGCCACTTTCATTAAAGAAATCAAACTGTTGTTACATTCATTCTTTAATAGTAATTTTTGGAACTTTTGGAATGTTAAGTTGCTCCAGTTAATTTTGATCCCAATTACTGGCTCGTTCCATGGAGTCAGGGAGGCAGCCCTCATATTGACTCCTAAGGCCATCTCTGCAAACAAAGGGAGGTGATCACTGATGGTGAAATCACCCACTCCAAAATGTGCCACACATGGTTTCAGAGAAAGTGATATCAAAATATAATCAATGACACTGGAACCCTGGGTAGCTATATGAGTGTATTCCCCTGTGTCCGGGAATTCTGCTAAACCATTTAACCAAATTAAACTGATGCACAGGTTAGCTAATGAGACTCCTGCTGTATTACAGACATAGTCCTTGGACTGTCTGCTGAAGGTACAATAGGTGGGAAGGGAAGTATTGCAGTCCACATCTAACACTTTCAAAAATATCCAATCACCTTTTCCCACCCTGGCATTGAAATCACCTGCCAAGATGAACTCTGCCAGTGGGAACCTCCTTTCAAGGTCCTCCATGCATTTGGTTAAGGAGTTACACTGTTGAAACCGCTGTAGATTATTAAGACCTGAGGATGCCCTATGTTGGATGTTGACTAGAATCAATACTTTGTTAGGAGTACAAATCTTAATAGCCAATAGATGACATTGAGAGATAGGCAATTCAATATACTCTGAATTTAAGAAAGTCTTAACCATTGCAACTAGGCCAGCAGTTGGTCTCCCTTTGTTATTGACCTTAACTGCAGGTTCACAATACACCTTGTACCCTCCTAGCAATACTTGGTTTAGAGCCCACATTTCCTATAATAGTATAATATCATAATTTTGATGTAATTCACAAATGAGCTATCTTTACATTTACCCTTCCAGCCTCCTGTGTTCCACAAGTGAATTTTAAATGAGGTTCTATTTTCAGGAATTAAGGATAAGTTATTCAGTCAGTTCTCAACTTGCAGGTTAGTAAGGAGGTCTAGATTTGTGGTTTCTGGGAGTGAATTTACTGGGTCATGAAGTAGCAGATCATCTGCTGCGGGTCTTCCTGGATGGGTTTGTGCCACTCCCATGATGTTGGGAATGGAGTACTGATGGGTAGATGCTCTGATTAGGGGCTGCTGCAGACCAGAGGGTTTGTTTTCCCTAACAGAGTGCTCTTGGAAGTTTCATTATCCAAATCTGACTCCAAGCTTCTGGAGAGGCAAACACCACATCCACCTTTGAAGTTGGACCCACGCCAACAGGGTTATGGGCCCAGGGAGACGTTGATGTTGTGGCCCAGGAGATGTGGTGAAGATATATTTGTTGACCCAAAGAGATGTAAAGGAAAATAAAAGGCATTTTTGAGGCTGAATATCTGTGGAGGAGAAGCCAAGTGTTGGAATAGTTGAGTCAGCGAGTGAAAGTGATGAGGAACAGATCCAAGGAGGCTTCACCATGCAGCAGACCACGATGGTGCCCTCTGTGGCATGAGGAATCGGAGGTGACATAGGGGATTCTGTGATGTTAATTAAATCGGTCCTCGCTTTCTCCAGGCTAGTGATAATCTTCATTTGTTCCTCCCTGGGTAAATCTTTAAAAGTGGCCATGGCTTCTTCCACAAGTTCATCTCCATCAATATCCAGTAAGTCCTTGGAGGGTGATTTAGTTTTATCCTGACCAGTTACCATCTGAGTATTACTGTTTACCTGCTTTGCAACACTGTCCCAGTTCTGGCCTAAGTTGGGAGTCTTCCCCTGGACCGTGAAGATCTCTAGAGTAGACTCTGTTTGAGGTTTTTGTATCATCCTGCTTGCTGGCATTATTGTTTTGCTATGCACAGCTGGCAACCCTCTTAAATTTAGCAGAGAGTCTTCCAAGGATTTGGTCAGGAACTCCAGCTTATCCAGGGAGACTGTTCCTCTGGCTGCTGGCACAGATGCAGCTGGTCATTGCTGTAATCTTTCCTGTTGCTACTGTGCCATGAGCTGACCTTTGTCTACATTGCGTTTTGGCAGAGAGCCTATTAGCGGTGGCCTTGTGATCACAGGAGGAGTAGCTAGTACTGTACTGTTTGCTCCACAGAAGTTTGCTGAGTCTGTTTTATATTTGGATCTGGAGACACATCCGAAAAGACTCTTTTTGTTGCAGTGGAGAAGGTGGTCAGAAATCTTTTCATCCTGCAAAGCATGAAGGGGGATTGTGGGCTTGTAAAACTCCATCCGTAGCCTTAGTATGTAGCGAGGGGCAGGTAAGGGTTGAATAGATTTCAAATCAAGTTGGCTCACCTCTGTTTGCAACAATTTACTCAGGGAAGTGAGAACCTTTTGCCTGTTTGTCCATTTTCCTTTATTTATATGATTTATTTATATGTCTGTCACTTCTATGATTATTTGTGTTACGAGAAGGTGTCGAGAAGTGGTTGTTTTGACTATATTTGATTTAAAGGAGTCTTGTGCAGTTTCCCCTCGGCTGGGATGGGCTCCCTTACCTTTCCGCTGTGCCTGGAGCTGTCGGATGTGGGGGTGTGGAAATTCTTTTCCTGTTTGTTTTAGTAAGTCCTGGAGGGAGTCCAGCTGATAGGCTGGATTTTCTCAAAGATAGCCTTCACTGTATTTCCCGTAGCTATGCAGTGCTCCCCCATTAATCTCAATAGATGGAGATCTCTCACCCCCTTATCCACCAGGGTCAATAAATCTTCACCCTCCTCTGAGGTTTCTAACCCTTCACCAGCTTGAGTAGATACAGTTTGTTTCATAGCTGGTCCTGCTGTTTTCAAGTCAGTGAATGGGGGTTTCAATAATTGATACTTTTTCCCATTAGATTCCTGGGAATCTGTAGCCAGAACAGAGAATTTATTTTGAGTGGTGCTTATAGCTGACTCACATACAGTTTCTGTCACAAATAGATCCATCTGATCTAGCCACAGGTGTTTAGCGACCTTGGGAGGAGAGTTAGAATAAGTCCGCTGTCCTTTCTTCTTCTTCTTCCCCATTATTGGGAGGAGAGTTAGAATCAGTCCGCTGTCCTTTCTTCTTCTTCTTCTTCCCCATTACGCCGCTTCTTTGACCTCCAATAATCCACAGTAATCCAGTTGTTTAAAAGTCAGTTTAGACCACCACTGTAGTCTCTAAGATGCCCTCAGGATACCCCAGTACAGTGGACCCTCGACTTACAGACGGCTCGACTTACAGACTTTTTGAGTTACAGACTTCTCTGGCTGCAAAATTTAGGTTCGACTTGCAGCCAGAGAATCGACCTACAGACCAGAAAAAAACAAAAATGGAACGAAAATGGAACATAATCGGACGGTTATGGGATTAATCGGTTTTCAATGCATTGTAGGTCAATGGAGATTCAACCTACAGACTTTTCAACCTACAGCCACCGTTCCAATACGGATTAATTCTGTAAGTAGAGGGTCCACTGTAGTATGATGACAAAATAGAAAAGCCTGAGTGTAAGGTTAAAATTAAAAGGTTTTAAAAAAAGGAGCAAGCCACAGGACAGTTGTCATCACTGAGTGGCCATCTTGAACTCGTCCCACACACACTGACAGCAAATTAATAAAATGCCCACAAATTATTTTAGAGAGGTATTTTAAATATTGTGCATATTTGATTTTTTTGAGCATATATTGTAGATCCCAGCCATTTGGAAGTACAGTAATGCCTCGACTTACAGACGTACCTACTTACGAAAATTTCAAGTTACGGAAAGCTCCAGCCACAAAATTTTGGTTTGACTTGTGGCCGGAGCTTCCACTTAAAAAAGGGAAAAGGAAGAGGGGAAAGGGTGGGAAATTTAAATTTACTAACTGTTGGTGGGGAAGAGGCTGCTTCTTTGTAGCTCTTTTGCCCAAATGGTTAGGGAAAGGGATGCGGTGGGGCTGGCCCAGAGCCAGGAGGCTTGACCCTACTGTGTGCGCTCACACTTGACTGGACCTTGTGGCAGACAACAGCTGGCCATATCACTGAATATTTAATGGATATTAACAGTGATTCTGAACATCAGAAAAAGTCTATCTGAAACAGGCTATCAAACAGCCCATTCACTAGCAGATGCTCAGCATAAACCAGGCTAAGGTTAACATTCCTTGTTGTCACACTACTCTGCATCTAGGCTCTCTCAGAATTAGAATGATGACTTTCCGATGCCTGATGCTGCTTTCATGTTACTGGCAACCATGAAATTCCTTCTGTTCTACACTGATGTTCCTTAGAACTGATTGTCATGAATAGGCCTTTGTGAGCTCACTACATCACTTCTTGGTGGAAGGAATCCAGCTTCCTCAACTGAGACTCAAACTCTTAAGCATAGCATTTGGATGACAGTCACCATCAATTCATGTGAATTGTTACTGTTTCTTTCACTTTGGTTGTGGAACTCCTACTAAGGTAAATAATGTTTGTGAATTTGGTGTCCAGCTCAGGGGAAGGAGGAGTCTGGAGTATAAAGGTAGGAAGACCTGAAACAACTTTAGTTATAGTCTTGATGTTAGTTCTCTAGCTAGTTGTTGCCCAAGTCAGACCTTTCTTAATATTTTATGAATTCAAAGAAGAAATAGTAATTAATATTCCAGATGATTTAAGACCAAATGCACTAATCCAAATACCTTTTCCACAACTGTGTGCCTGTACAAGATGAAATTACTATAAACAAATGTATAAATGACTTCAGTGTCTCCAATGTGCAGTACAGTGTTCCTGAATTGCCAGATTATATAAATTTAAATAGATAAACAGCATGTTCTGCACGTTTGCTGTCCTCTTCCGGGGATACAAAAAATTCCAGTTACATAAAAAGATTTTACAGATTGTTACTTGGTTAGATACTCCCTTAAATCTCTTCCATATGTTTTTATAATGCATGGAAGCTTTCCTGTGTATTGCATTATGCTACTTTAGAAACCCAGACAAATATACCATTTGTCTTTAGTGACCCATTATAAATATAGATTTTGAAGGTATGTATCAGTACTGCTATAGAGGGGGGGAAAGGTGGCTTAAAATCTGCACTGATCACATCTCTGCAGTGAGTGTTAAAGCCCCTGGAGATGAATCCTCTAGCAAATATGAACCAGAAATGCCCAAATCTGACATGGGAGATGAGCTGTGAGATCCTGCAATCTCTAGGATTTAGAAGGCTGAATTCTCAAAAGAAGGTGGCCATGTGCCTGAGTTGGACAGAATGGATGGACCACTTCCCAGTTCCTGAGAATGTCACAGCTTAAAAACACAAGCCCAGCTGGAAACCTCCAGATGAAATGTTTGGCTGGAAGATGTCTGAGGAGAGGCCCTCTTCATGAGTAGGAGTGTCAGTGAGGGAGACCAGTCAGTCAAATGCCTGCAGATGTGCTTTGGTGGAAGGTTTCTACAGCTCCCTGATATAAATCTTAGGCTGGGAGTGAGCGTTCTTTGGAGACAATGTCCTTATTAGCTTCAGACTCTACCTGCTGTGTATCTTGACTCTTCCTGCCGAGTCCCTGGATGTGTTTGACTTGTTGGCTGTTTACCTCTGCATCTTGGACATTACTTCTTTTTCTTTCATCTTTGTGACAGCTTGACTCTGGATGACTCTTTGCCTTTCGGAATGTGATCTGATGGCCAATCAGTTCACTTTCTGGATCGCCTATGGCACATCTATTTTCTGGTGATCAGATGATATACAGGAGATTGGGAAGCAGCCTGATCCTGCTCCATGCCCTTTCAATACACCACCTGGACTACTGTATCTCTCTTTTCAACCTGGAGCTAGAGCAATTGTGGGAAGCAGCCTGATCCTGCTCCATGCCCAATCTGGACCTCTCAGTCCACCACTAGAACTACTGTACTCTCTCTCTTTTTTCAATCTGGGGCTAGGGCAATTGGGACTAGATATTTTTTGTGAATGGAAGGGTCACTTTAAAGGTCTCACCCAGCACAATCCCATCTGATTGCACCCTCAATTGTGTGTGTGTGTGTGTGTGTGAACGGAAGGGCCACTTTAAAGGTCTCACCCAGCACAGTCCCATCTGATTGCACCCTCAGTTTCCTGTACCTAGCTTGCCTGACTTTCTGATTTGCCTGTTTGCTATATTTCTCTTCTGCCTTATACCTGAATTTGGACTCCCCTGGCTAACCTTGCCTATTATTCCCACCTTGGCCTCTCAAGATCTCACCCTTCAGATTAGCTTGTTTGATAGCAGAACAGTGAGTGAGACTGATATCTTAGTAGAAGAGTAAAATATTTTGGCCTAAGATTTTAAGCAGATATCGACTTCTTGATGTCTTTAGGTTCAGAAAACAGGGTTGTGGACATTTTATTTGTACGTGAAATCGTCATGCCAGTTCCATGGTGCAGGTGTGAAAAGATATACAGTAGCTATTGTCTTCTTCGCTTGGTGTTCATAGCAGGTCTTATTACCACCACGTACAAGGTACATCCATTCTATATCATAAGTAAAGTTTGAATCTTTGAGAGTAGCAAACTATGATTTGGGGAACACACACCTAAAAATAGGATATTTTGGGTGATAGTTAACTTCCTGGATGAGTTTATTGGAGAATTTGGTTAATTCCTTTTATAGATAGCAGAGTATCAGGTATAAACATCAAATGAGATAGCAGAGTATCAGGTATAAACATCAACTGCACAGAGAAAGTGTGTGAGAATAGTAGTCCACCCCTTTTCACTCTGACTAGTAGAGATAGGCATGTGCCTTGGTTCAGTGAGGTTCAGCGCTTGGGCAGCACAGCTGACTCATGGGTGCCCTGGTTTCCCTTGCCCTGTCTCCTCCAGCAGATGCTCACTCAGAGGCAGAGGTGTGGCTTTTCAGCCCTGCCTTCTCCAGGTGCTGCCTCTCAGTGGGCGCCTGCCGGAGGAGCTGGGGCAAGGGATGCTGGGGATGCCCGTGAATCAACTGTGCTGTCAAACCACCAAAACTGTGGTTCATGGCCATTTCTACTAGCACTTTATATGCTAAAAATCACTTTGGAAACATTTTAAGTTGGTTAAAAATCACTTTGGAAGCATTTTAAGTTAGAAAGAAAGGTATCTTTACTTACAGTTGCTGTATATTGTTACAGTCAGTAGGAAAATAGGAAAATTGAGTCTCACATGTGATCGAGACCCCTCCATGCTTCTTACCTGGCCGGAGGTCAGAAAAGGAGAGACACCAAACAAACCAATGCAAAAGAAGCAAACATAGGGACAGGGGAGGGAAAAGCCAGAGGAAAAAAGAACTTTAGCTATAGGTTAGTGGGAGAGAATCTCTTTGGGTCCTAAAATACCCCTTTGCTCTGATACCCAGTGTTAGAAAGCATGCATGATTTTTATTATCTCAACAGTGTTAACTTTTTATCATGTGAAAACAATTTGAGCCCTCAAATTTTGAATATGTATTCATTTAGTTCTCCATTCACACATACACCCATTTTGCAGCTTTTATTGTTACATGGTCTTGTTCTTATTTCAATGTTATTGTCATTTTACTAAAATTACCTGTGTATTTTAACTTTTATTGCTAATTCCTTGCATTGGAAAATAAATTTTATTTTTAAACAACCACTAATAACTCCTTCATTGGACATTATTTCCATTTAAGATAGGGGCTGTTTTGTAGTATTCACAGGATTTTGAAGAAGAATGTTTGAGTCCAACTGTAGCACTAATTATATAAGTGGAAGCATGAGAGAACTGTAGATTTCAGACTAGAATTTGGAACAACGTACATTTCCTTCTGATTTTCTTTTTTGAAAGAATGTCAGCTGAATTGAGCTTAACTTTGGACACCAGCCAAAGTGGATTGCCTGTAACCAGAGGGTAGGAATGGTTCTGTTCTCCGTTGCTTTGCTTTTGTTTTTTTTAAGCTCCTTAAGAATGTCATTTTAAAAGCCGAATATAAAATACTTGTTACATTTATGAAAATAAGCAACCACCAGAAAAAAATAATAGATAACCCATACTTGGTCAAAACATGAAAATGTAAGCTATAGGAATTAGTGCAAAATTTATAGCTAGAAATGACACAAGCACCTTGTTTAATTATCTGTAACAAAATCTCCTAATCCTGCAGCCTCCGGAGATGAGTCCCCACCAAGTGAGAGTTAAATATACGGCTGTTGAAACTGGGGGAAGTCTGTGCACTCAAGCATTTTGTTTAATTGAATACAAAATGTAATATAAATCAGTAGGAGGAAATATTGGGGTGGGGAGAAAAAAAATAAGTCCTAGGCCTATAGGAAATGAGTTGAATTATTTACACACACAGGATGATAATGTTGTAAATATATCCGGAAATCTGTGGTCCGCTCTTTGTACACTGCAGGTTCCAATTAACGTGCAGCCTGTGAACATCCAAATCCATTATATTCTGAGCTTAGTAAAGTGAATGTAATTGATTTAATGGTAAGTAATGGCCTGTAATTTTATATAGCATTAACAACAATTAGAAGTTGGTTTCCAGTAATAATGTGGTGATAGTTAAAAGTAGATGGACCACTGTTCATTTGTTCTTAAATGTCTGTCAGAATTATAGTCTGAAGGCCCCCCGTGCAAGTTTTTCTACAACTTTATAGTTCTCTAGAGTACCCAGTGTGATATAGTGGATAGAGTGATGAACCATGACTCTGGAGATCAGGGTTTGAATCCCCACTTGGCCATGGGAATCCACCTGGGGGTGGAACTGGTAAAACCACTGCTTAAATATCTCACTTATCTTGTAGGTCCTATTAGGGTGTCTATAAGTGTGTTCCAATTTGACACCACATAATTAACTATAGTTCTCTAACCTGGACATGTAGATGCCATCAGCATGGTGGCGCTGTGGGCTAAACCGCAGAAGCCTTTGTGTGCTGCAGGGTCAGAAGACCAGCAGTCGTAAGATCGAATCCACGTGACGGAGTGAGCTCCCGTCGCTTTGTCCCAGCTCCTCACCAACCTAGCAGTTCGAAAGCATGTAAATGCGAGTAGATAAATAGGTACCACCTTGGTGGGAAGGTAAAACGGCATTCCCTAGTCACACTGGCCACGTGGCAATGGAAACTGTCTTTGGACAAGCCCTGGCTCTACAGCTTGAAAACGGGATGAGCACTGCCTCCTAGAGTCGGACTCGACTGGACTAAAAATGTCAAGGGGAACCTTTACCTTTACCTTTACCATTTTGCATAGTATACAAAACTATTCTGTTTTGAGACACTTTCCATTACTTGGTGTTTGTATTGTTCATTTATTTCACAATTGTAACAGTAAGTTTCTTCTTATTCTATGTGGCCTGTTCACTATCTGGTTAATTTAGTGTACTGGTTTTTTATGTTCTCCTTTGGTACTGTTTGTGTTTTTGCTTTCACGGCCTTCTACTAATACAGTCATCCAGCAGAAAACACATGATGATAATTCTTGAGCTAATTGGGAACTATCAAAAGGGTCTTGGGTGAGTTCTTCAGCTATTTGGTACAAATAAGGAATGCAACAGCTGTAGTAGTCCCCTATAGAAACATGGAACAGAGACAGCAACAAAGTGTCTGGAATGTCAGATGCACTACACAAGAATTTCCATCTAAATCTCAAACTCTAAAATTAAGAAGATTAAGGAAAGCATTTTTTTCTTATGAGAACCTTGGATTATGATGTTTATCGAATACAGCCTCACAGAGCATTTATTCTTGCACTACAATTTTTGGAATATGGGGCCTGTGCAGCGTGGCAACCATGTAATAACACAATATAGCCCTAAGGGCATGAGCCCCCATTATGTTTGTTTCTTAGAAAGGTGTCTTTCTTTATAGCATCAACTTTGTTGACTTCACCAATGCACCTTCAGATCTTTGGATCATCAAGGGCAATGTAGTTGAAAGAAAAGGGTAGAAGAGTCATTGCCCAATAATAATGTTAATTTCCACTACTGTTGACATTTTCACTAAAAATGTCTTTCTCTCGGTGTGAGAGAGTGAGTGAGAGGAATGGAGAGAGATTGCATCAGTCATGATAATGACCCAAATCCTGTTGCTTAGCTTAGTAAATGACACTATATTGAAATGCCACTGTAAACCCTTTGTTTTCTGTCCATCTATCATACATTTTTTTTTAAAAAAATGTTCCAAGTTCATTAAAACTGCATTTCTGGCTATTTTTTGTGTGCCACCAACAGTAGAAGAGAGTGTCAAAAGCACTTAAAGTGCCACGTCTGTCAGTCTGTGTTTTAGATTGTCAGAAGACGTGATTGCCTCCACAGTGTGATCTTGAAACTCACACCTGGGTTCATTTTGTGTTCAGATACTACCTAGAGGAGGGACATGGTGGCACTGTGGGCTAAACCGCAGAAGCCTGTGCTGCAGGGTCAGAAGACCAAGCAGTCGTAAGATCGAATCCACGCGTCGGACTGAGCACCCGTCGCTTGTCCCAGCTCCCACCAACCTAGCGGTTCGAAAGCATGCAAATGCAAGTAGATCAATAGGGACCACCTCGGTGGGAAGTTAACAGTGTTCCGTGTCTAAGTCGCACTGGCCATGTGACCACGGAAGATTGTCTTTGGACAAAACACTGGCTCTATGGCTTGGAAACGGGGATGAGCACCGCCCCCTAGAGTTGAACACGACTGGAAAAAAATTGTCAAGGGGAACCTTTACCTTTACCTTACTACCTAGTGTTTGGGGCCTCAGCATTTCTTACCATGCCAGTGTTTTGCTGGGTCTTTGCTGTGGTCATGTTCAGCATTATACTTGTTTCCACTAGTTATTCATCTCTTCTTCCCTTTTTGGAATATCTTGATTCTCCTTGAGGACTCCTTTTTAAATTTTATCCCTTTTTTGTTGCATCCCTGTGTAGTGCATATTTCGTACTTCCATCCTTCCCCAGACTAGCTACTGATACCTCCTGATTTTATTTATTTCAATTATTTTGAGCCCATTCAGATGTAAATGAGTAGTGATTTAGGCTGGGAAAATACCAATTCTGTTTTGGAGACGAAATCTGGTTTCTTGGTTTTCTAAAGATGTTTCTTACTACATCAAGTAATACTCTGCCATCTAGTGGTTAATGTGCAGTTTTTAAAAATATTCCCAACACAGGAGTTCCTTTCACCTTTAATAAAATGAAAACAATTCTTGGTACTTAGGTGTAAAGAACATTCAGCTGGATGGATCATTCAATGGATTTGTTTTTCTAGCTGCAGACCCATAGGCTGGCCATTTTATTCCCTACCATGCATCCCAGGATAAGAGCCAGCCTTGGGCAAGTTGCACAGTTCCAGAGTGTGCCCCCTCCCCCAGAAAAAGGGAATGGTTGTCGTAAGTCAGAATTTACTTGACAACATATAATTATTAATATTAACAAACACATTCATTCACTTTGTGCCCATGATCAATCAGTTAAGTTTATTAGTCTGTCACAGAGTAACCATTTTCAGAGGGGGTTTTTAAAATGTTTTAAATGGAGTGAGGCAAAAGTATCTGGTCTCTTAGCAACCTGCATGAATTCAATAGGCATTCAAGCTTCTTCCTTATAACAGCAACACAAAAAGCACAGGCACTTTCTTTCTAGGACCAGGATTACTGTGAATTCTTTTTTATTTATTTTTTTGGCTTGGTTTTCTCTAGTGCTGAAGAAAAGACTGATCTAGCCCAAGAATTTTGCAAAAGATTTGATTTCAGAGAGGGTGAGTACAATCTCGTCACATTTTCAGCTTGGTTACTGTTTTACTAGCTGCAGTTAAGTTGCTATATATATTTAGCCTTCGAAACCTGTGTTTTGTGTATTGTGTCCCTCATAACTTTAACATTTCTACCTAACCCAGTGAGGTGTAGTGGATAGAATCATGGATTAGGATTCAGGAGGCCTATGGATAGAATGATGGATTAGGATTCAGGAGGCCTGGGTCTGGATGGAAGTCATGGAAGTTCTGTGGGGGTGTAGAACTGCTACAACCTTTCCTTAAATCTTCTGTGGGGGTGTAGAACTGCTACAACCATTCCTTAAATCCCTTACCTTGAAAGCCCTATTAGGGTCACTGTAAGTCTGTTCCAACTTGACAGCACATAACTGCAACAACAATCTCAAAGCATAGAGGCTTAGCAATTTTTTTCTATATTTTTTGTAAACTTTTACATTTTACTTTGCTGTCTTACTTGATGAACTCTGAAACAGCCATTTGATATATTCAAAACCTGCTTATATGTTAATCAAGCTGATATGGGCATTGCACAAGCTGTCCTATGAACACAGCTGGTTTTCCACACGACACTGTTCAGGAGGAAAAAAATATTTCCTTTTCGTAGGTGCATTTCTTATTTTCCTGGGAACTGGTCTGTTATGAAGAGCATGGAAAACCATTGTTTGACATGATCTTGCTTGTGATTTAATGTTCAGCTGCAGAAAATACTTCATAATCTGTATATGGCTATACGTGTTAAGGACTACATGTATTATTACATTTACATCACAGTTTTTCTTTTTAACTGAAAGAGAGCTATGTTGCGAATGTAATAATACATGCAGTACTGAAAGTATTGTGGGTTTGAGAGAGGTGCAATATTTAGAGTTTTGGACACCCAGGTTCAAAATTCTGCTCTTCCCCAAAAGGGATTTTCACCTTCCATCAGCTTAAACTTCCTTATAGGGGAAGAATGGAGAAGAAAAATATCAGAAGCATGCATTCCACTTTGATCTCCTGGGAAGAAAATGATGCAGCAGAAGGGTAATAAAAAGCATGCATGTTGAAAATGATCAGTGATAATAACATGCTTTTTTTTGTCTTGCTTAGGACTGAAGGGGCAAATGCAAAATGTTTCCCTGTATCCATGACAGAAACCGATCTAAGTGTACTTTTGATTTAAAGGAAAAGTTTACTACAAATCTGGAGTTAGCCTTAGCACGAAATACAGTCCATGCATTGCAGCAACCCAAATTCCCTCCTGAAAAAGAATCCTGGACAAAACAGCCTCCTGACTTTAGCTATAAACTGTATATAACTCCAAGCTTCTTCAAGAAGCCAAGTGGAAAGTCAAAAGAGTTGAAGAAGAAAATGAAAACTAGCACAGTGCATGAAGAATTGAACAGAATAAGATCCAGATTGTTTGTCCAAGTCCTGGAACCAGAGAAACAACCAAAAATCATTACAAGGTTTCCACATGTGGGTCCCTATGAAGCACAATTAATGTTCGTGAAAATGGGAAAATTTAAGAGCAGCAAATACCAAGATCCCAAACCGTATGATTATAGACAGGTAAAGAAAGATAAGGGTGAACTGTAAGAGAAAAAAGAAAAGAAAAGAGGAGGCTCTGGGGTGGGTTCAGATGATGCTATGTAACACAAGGACAATATGGTCCTCCGTTGATTTGTTTATAAATAAAAAAAAATATCCAACAAAATTAACTATCTCCACGAGATGGCCTTATTTCAGCAAAAGCTTTAGCCAGATTAATTCTGTGCTGCAGGCCACATTTAACTTTCTCTTACAGTGTAGCTGCATTACATGGCTTGTTACTAGCTTTTGATAAGTTTTGTGGAAGCCTTAGAGGTTCTTAGAAAGTTCTTGACAATTGGAATATTCCTCTTGAACCACTGATGCTCAGTTAAGGTTTGGAGGGAGCTGACCTTTCTCATGAGACTGAAGTTCCTTTAAGCAGACTAGTTCATGTCTAATTCATTACTCTATTTTCTTCAGTGAGTCACCAAATGAATTTGTAAGTGAGCCTTCCCCATTTTAAAATAATAGTAATGTTACCATTACTGCAGTTAATGTTTGAGACTGGGACAGTAGCCAAATACGGTATTTTCCTCCACCAGAGTGCTTTAATAAAGACTACCACCAGAGGGAAACATAAAGGCACATTTTTTGACTAGACTTTGTATTTTACAACAGTTAACATACAAGATGTATTTCTATTTATTTCTCCCCACAGTAATTCTAAACTCACTTCTGCAGGATTGCTTAGTTAAGTATATGAAAGGTACTGCTATGTTTTAAATGATTAGTGGACAGAATCCTACTGGTGTTAGCATAACTTGCTGTGACTAATTGTAGCTGACTGAAAGGCTTCAGGGTAGGTCTCACTCACATACCAGTTCATATACCTGACTATGCAGGTGACATGTGTCCTAGTATATTGTTAATTAGCTGTGGCGGTATTCAGACCTTACATGAACACTTAATAGGATTCCGACTACAGTATAATTCTCACAAAGCTTGTTAGTGTGTTCAGTATTCCTCTTTGCATATCTCTATGCATTCTGTATATTGAATTATTATTTTTTATTGAAATACATTGATTTATATTGTACTTTCAGACCATGTTCTTACAGCAAAAAACACTTCCAAATCAAAATTTAAAATTAAAATTTTGATTTGGAAGTTTTTTTTGCTGTAAGCAATAAAATGATTTTCATGTTTATACCAGAAATAAGAATAATAGAGAGGCTGTCATATCCAGTCTCTTTCTGGAGGTTCAAGATAGCTGACAAATCTTTACTACATGTGGATAGTTCAAGATTATCTGGTATTTCTAAAGTTGAACTGATGCACTAGAAATTAGTGATGGGTTTTAAAACCAAATTTGGTACATAGTTCTGTGCATAAGCAATGTACTGCAGCTTTTACTACTTATTCGTAGAATGTGGTCTGAAAGTACATAAGACAGCCACCTTGCTGAAGCTAAGCAGGTTAGAGCTTGGAGACTGCTTGAATGGGGAAATACTTGAGGACCTCACGTCTGCTTCTTTGAGAGTTCCATGATGGAAGAAGATTGGGATATGAATGAAATAAGTAAGTGTAGGCATAGACATTTGGGTGTAAACTGATGAAGTGTGCCAAAGCTTCTGCCTGATCAACCTTATTAATTTTTAAGGGTCCTGAAAACCCTTCATTGCTTTAGAAGCCTCTTATGAGATAATATATTTTGATGATATTAAGACAAATACACAAAAGCAGAGTCTAAAGTGCATAGACTAAAGAAAACAAACAAGTTTCCTTTCTTTGTGTGCCAGCCTCATTTAGGTGGTTTTTCATGAGCCTTATTATAGAAAGTAGAGATGGGAGTATTTGTATACAAATATGAATATCCCTGCACAGGCAGTGTTAACAAGGGTCGATCCACTCACCGATCCGCCACTGATGGGTGCGATTCTACAAATGGCTCCACAGCGCGCAATCCACTTGCCACTCTTCGACCTTGCAGTGAGGCTTATCCTCCCTCCTTCTGCCAGGAGTGGCGAGCAGATTGCACGCTGCGGAGTCATTCGTAGAATCACACTGTCCATAGCGGTGGATCGGTGAGTGGACTGTCTGGCCCCATGGGGCTGGACCCTCATTAACGCCACCTGTTCAGGGACATTCATATTCGTATAGAAATACGAATACCCCATCTCTAATAGAAAGCTGTTTTCTACTGTGATGTCCTTTACTATATTTTAAGCTGGGCAATTATGAAGTGCTCTGTATCTCTTATACATGGACATAATTAACTGGAGTTCCTTGCAAGGTTGAGATTAGCAGTCACCTTTATAGATATTGGGCTTGTTGAATAACTTTTTTCTGCCTTAAACCAGGAAGTGACTGTGTATTAGTAGGTGGTTCTGTGTCTACATATCCAAAGGCTTCAGAAGCAGATGAATTTGGTTTGCATTGGTTGCAGAGTAGTTTAGAAATAGCATTTGGTAGTGACAATAAATTCTATTTTGTTTGCTTTGGAAATTTCTGCCCTGCCCAAGGATTCAAACACATACACACAAGCACAAAGAGAGAGGGGAGGGGACTGGAGTAAAACAAAGAAATCAAATGCCACGTATCAATTAAAGCAACAGTAAGTGAACAACACAGTCTGGAAACCTATTGGTATTTGTGCAAGGCTTGTGTTATTTGCTGTGGTTAATCATGGATTCATTTAATGAAGGATGAGACAAAACAAAAGGAGGACCAAGGAGACAAAGCAGAGAGGTGAGTGATTTGGATTAACACCAGGAAATGACCTGGAGTAATCCTAGGAAATAGCCTATTCAGAAGCATTGTGTGCTCAGCTTGAAAAAAAGGAGTGTGGTCTGAAAATGCTGAGAGTAGTAAGCAGCAGCTATGAGTGCTGGGAAGGCCTTTCTGTTTGCTGATTCCTAACAGAGCAAAGCAGAGGAATAAAACTATGACAGACCCCAAGGAGCAAAAATGAGACCAAGGAGACAAAGGCAGAGAGTTATATATTACTGGACATGCCCATCATCCTTCAAGGAAGAGAAGATGAAGAGTGTTCATACAGAGAACAGACAGGATCTCAATAATTCCAGAGTTCAGGACATGTAATAATAGGCTGAAGTTACAGGAAACCAGATTTCAGCTGAATATCAAGAAAAAGTTCCTAGCTATTAGAGTAGTACAACAATTAAACTAATAACCTTGGGAAGTAGTGAGCGCTCCAATACTGGAGGCATTCATGAGAATATTACAAAACTGTCTATCAGATATAACTTGTTCTGGATTTCTGCATTGAATAGGGGTAAGGTTCGATGATCTTATACGAGTAGGCCCCTTCCAACTCCATTATTTTATGATTCTATGAAAGATGAGTTACCAGGATACACCTTGGATGCATGACTAGGCACATGAGCAAGAATTGCCCCAGGACCTTGTCAGTTAATTGTAATCAGCTGCAGCAAGTTATCCAAAATTTACACAAACACCTATAGGACCTTGACTCTGGACAGACTAAGACATTTTAAAAATCAAAATGCAATAAAAAGAGGTTAAAAATGGATAGGAAATTAAATATGCGGCAGAACAAGACAATGGCTGTCTTCCTGCATTCTATGTTTCATATCAACTGTTACAATCAGAACTTGGAAATGTTACTTTTCTGGACTACATCTCTTCATATCTCCTAGCTATTATGTCCAATGGTTGTAATAGCTGGGAGAGTCTTGGAGTTGTAGTCCAAAGAAAGGTAGTATTTCCGAACTGTGGTTGAAGACCAGGCCAAAACATCTGTCCAATGAAAAATATGTGCCCTGTCACGGGCAGATCATCACCTGCTGAAATTTGATCTGGCAACGCCAACACCCCCTCACAGCCAGTTGCACCTCCACAGAGTACCTGTCAGAGCACCTCTCCCTCAGGTCATCTTCCCATCCCACCCGCACCTCCCAGTTTTTAATGTTGTAGGTGGTCACTCCAAAGGAAGCCTGGAGGGCATCAAGCAGAAACCCGGCCTTTTCAATAGTGGCTGCTCTGCTCTGGAACTCTCTTCCTGTGGAGATGCAACTGGCCCCCCACCCTCCTGAGCTTCCGTAAACAACTTAAAACCTGTCTTTTTACCCAGGCCTTCCCAAGCACCATCTTTTTGTAAAATTACGCTGGCCCGTTGTCTGCAATCTTATGTCCCAGGCCGGTGATTTTATGGGGGGTAAGAATTGTTTGTTTTCTTTTAATATGTTTTATATGGTTTTAATAATATTTTGTAAGCCTCCCAGAGTAGTGGCATGTTCACCAAATAGGTGGGGTATAAATATAAATAAACAAATAAATAAATGTATTCGCGAAGGCTTTCACGGCCAGGATCTAATGGTGGTTGTGGGTTTTTCGGGCTCTTAGGCTGTGTTCTGAAGGTTGTTCTTCCTAACGTTTCGCTAGTCTCTGTGGCTGGCA